GGGGGTTTTGGGACCCCAGCATTCATCCCTGCCTGTGGCAGGGGGTCAGGCTAGATGATCTGTTCAGGTCCCTCCTGACCCTAGCTACTATGAGAGCATCCTTCTGGGGCCTGATGAAAAACCCCTTCTGCTCAGCACTATAGAAGGGAAGGGAGGGCTGCTCTATCACCCCCTGGCTTCTAGCCTGAGCTACTGCAGGTATGTGCCTGCATTTCTGGAATGAACAGGGAATGTCTATCCACCTCCAAATCGGTTCAAGCTTTGCAGGTTAGACTATATAACCCTAGTGTAACTATGGGTGAGTGAGCAGGGCACTAGCAACATGTGCTGACTTAGAAGCGGTGCTGAAACGGCAGCCCCGTGGGAAGTATTTTCCACTGCAACAACAGCTGAGTTTAGGGATACTGCATCATTATAGCAACTGCTGTAGAAACTGACATGACAGCAGTGGCCTGAGTCTTTGAGTCTTGAGTCCTCTGGACACCACCCTGACCATCTCCAGCACTTGCCCTCTGCTCCCCAAGTATGCAAAGAATTAAACCCCTACTCAGTTTTATCATTGGTGTAATGACATGATTGTTTATCAAGATAAAATTTTCAAATTTTTAAAATTTTCAAATTTTCAAAATTTCTGCATGAAAACCAAGGGGAAGTAGCCTACTAATTGAGCTGGTGCTTTTGAAAGTTGAACCTTGGTAACTTTCTAGCTGCTTATGCCAGGACATTTGCCTTATTAAATGTGACCTGCAGGTTTGTGCCTTTTCTTTTTTCTTATTTCTGCCTCCTAATATACATATACAACCCACCCCCTATTTTTTGTGGTTTTTTGATAATTACATTAGAAAATTGAGAATCTAGTTTTTTTTTAACTGAAAATCTCTGGCATACTGGAAAACCGACAAGATGATGAAATCAGAAATAAGTATGTAGTTAAACCTGACTCTGAGGGGAAATTATTGTTTTATTCATTCTGTTAAAGCTTCCTGTTTTCTGTTTGGTTTTATTAATTTTTTTTAACTTAAAACACATGAGAATCACTTTGGAAATAAGATGCTTTTGTTAAAGACTCAGCATTCTATCCTCTTGAATTAGAGGTCAAGCAAGCTCATGATTCACTTTTTGTAGACCTGTAAAGACTCCTGCAACAGGAGTCCTGTTTTGTAGACCTGTAAAGACTCCTGCAACAAAACTAGTGAAGACCAGCCTTGACATTTTTCATCTTTCTAAGGTACAAAGCAAGTAGAAAAGAAAGCCTTTTAAACATCTTTTCAGGCTTTCTTTATATACAAGCCACTCCTTTTCTGAGCAGTGTGACTATAATATGTACAAAGCCTTGCACTGTGCAGAAACCATAGCACCTCCTGCTCTATGGTTCTGCGTCAGTAAAAGCTGCACATTCTCTATATTAATGAGCACTGGAAGAAGCAATGCTGTGATATGAAAAGATACCTTTTGTTTTCACTATTTCCTTCCAAAATGTAAGTATATATATAAAAGAATTATTGATAAATGTAGAAGCACCTACACTAAAATAATGCCAGTCTTTCTTGATGCTCTGCTAAAATCAAAATATCAGAATCACAACTGTGCATATATTAGTACCTTGGGATTTATTTGTTTTAAAATCTGATCATAGGAGGTAGATTTGGAAGAGTTCCTGAAGTACTTTGTTCACATTTTTCTGGACGTACATTTTGCTAACCAAACTATTTATTGCTGTTCTAAAAATTGTGCAAATATCTATTTTAGGTGAGAGACCAAACTTTTAATAAGGAGGAAAAGCTATTTAGATGTTTAGAAAAAACCGTGAAATTTTGTGTGAAGAATATTTCACTTTCTCTACAACATCTACAAGTGAGTATATCATGGAAGTGAGTATATCATGACAGCACCCATAAGAATGCATTCACACATACAAAACCACATACACACCCATCTTAATACACGTCTGGCAGTATTATCTAATAGCAAATGAAAAAATCCTATAATAGACCCATGTACAACCTAATGTTACATTCCCACTGCATTTGGGGGTTAATAGCAAAGATCCTATGAAACTGGGATTCTATATCACTCTGTTTATTAAACAAGAAGTCTCACTAGTGGTTGTGTGGAAAGCAAGGGAGAGAAGAAAGTTGTCTGGGGCACAATCATTATGTTGAAGCACATCATGACTCCACAAGGGTCACACCTTTCACTGTAGTGAAGTAGCAGGCGGTTTCAATTAGTCCTCATTACGCTGCACAAACTATTCAGGTTGCAGCTACATGAGTTAGAAGGTCCTGAAAAATATACCAAGGTAGATGATGTCTTCCTTTAGCTCCTGTGTGCTCCAATGGATTTTTCTTGAAATAAAGCCTTTTCCATTGGACTTTCAGTATTGCCAACACAGGATTTTTGGCATTGTTCTTAAAGTCTGCGCTTCAGGAATGTGAAAAACTTGGCTCTTTCTTATATATATATGTGTGTGTGTGTGTGTGTGTGTGTGTGTAATATATATCTATATATCTATAGATATCTAGATAGATAGATAAAAACTTAGCTTAGAAAGAGCTAAGGTTTTCACATTCCCAAAGCGTAGACTTTAAGAACAATGCCAAAAATCATGAGAGTTGGCAACACTGGACTTCGTTCTTTTGTAATGATTTGACTATGTTCAGGACTACCTTTATGATCATCACAGGGTTCCAGATAGCTACTGGTTTCTTCACTCTTTCATTCCCAATTTGTTCAGTGAGCTTTCTCTCCCTCTGGCCTGAATTGTCAACGTAGCAGAGGCCATAAGGGCCATTAAAAATAAAGGGCTGTACTAGCTGACCTTGACTGACATGTGATATAGGGAAAGGCAACTTTTAGTCTGTAGAAGCTTCACAAAGTTTCAGCCAACTTGGTAAACATGCCATGACCCTTGAGTTTACCTGACAGCTGTTGCCTGTAGACTGTGTGGATTTTAATTCCTTGGGGCAGCAACATTCATGATACCATATCCTGAGGGGATACTTCACTAAGGGTGAAATTCCCCTGTGCAGAGGACCAGCTCCACTTAGGTTTCACTAAAAGATACCATCAAAAAAGTGCAAGGACCTTGCACTGGCTGTTTCCACAAAAACTAATTTAATGGTTTTTGACTTAACTCCAATGGTGAGATTTATTAGCATACCAATTGTCCAATTGTCTGAGGTGAATGGTGGTAACCCTATTCTTTGAAAAAATTGGACTAAAACTGAACAAAACAAGGGAGAATATATAATAGAACACAATCACGTATTGATTCAGGGTGGAATAGGTGCCAGAGATAGAAAAAAGCTATGATTCTAGGAATATTGTGGCACTCTGAATTAATAAATACATTGTATTAAAATTAAAGCAAATGATCAATTTATTTTAATATTCTAACCTTATCCTTTTTTAGGATTCCATGCTTCTAGCTGCACAGAGTATAAGTGAACTTCAAGATATTTTACATGACAAAAGTGATGAAGAAAATGGCTATTCAGAAAGGCTGAGTAACACTGGAAACCCTTGTAAAAGCTTTGTGAGTTTATGAAATATGATCATATCATGCAACTATCAGCATGTGTAAACCAAGTGTTATAGACTCAACACTTAAAAAAACCAACCCCTTATGAGTCCATTAAACTATGGAGAAATATATTATTTCAATTATTTTTCTGAATGAAATCATGTACAATTGCTGGGTTAACTTAATAACAATGCAGCTGCTCCAAAGGGCTGAAGAATGTTTCCCTTCAACCTAAATTTCTGATGAAAGGCTAAAGTTGTCAGAGGCAAAGCCAGTATGAAAGTCTGAACCCAGATAAGAATAAATTTTCTAGAATTGAAACAAACCTCTGCTGAAACCAGGAGCGTTGCAGCTCTTATGATTTTATCTGGAGTGTTGTAATATTTGGTATTTTCTTAAATCCTCAGCTCCTGGAATCTGAAAATATAAGGAACTCAGCTATTTATTTTAAGGGCAGTTTCTATCCCTCACAGTTGCAGAGGAAAGACTGAAAATATGAATATGACCCCAATCCCAAAATTGTTTACTTAAATCTCTTCGCGTTTAAGCTAGTTTCAGGTAGGCCTGTGCAAGTCGGCAGCGATCATTTTGGCTTTGGATCCGGCTGCTTCAGATGGCTGTAATCCAGAGCTCCGGACCAGGTTTCCACCTCGATCCGGCCGAAGCAGCTCCAAAGCTTCAGAGCCGCCTCAGAGATCCAGTCATAGGGTATAATGGGGAATCAAGGAAATATCTATAAGTATGTTGTTTCTTGTCCAATTTGGATGAAACTTGGAGAGATGGTAGCCTCTGCTGAGAGCATGAAACCTGCCAAGTTTCAAGAATATCGGTGCAGGGATTTGGGGGGAACTGTACTCCAAATTCTTGAAAGCCAAACTCATGTCATGGCTATGTGTCACACCACAGTGGGGTGAAAACTGCAGGGCTGGGAGCTATTACTGACGCCACAAAGCCTGCCAAGTTTCAAGGAGATCGGTGCAGGGGTTGAGGGGACCTGCACCTCAAGCTGTGGACAAGCAAAACTGATGCCATGGGTGACACTGCGTGTTAAGGCGCAGCGGGGTGACAGCTGCAGGGGTGGTGACCCCTGCTGCGGCCACAACACCTGCCAGCTGTGGAGGAGATCGGTGCAGGGAGTCTGGGGCCCTGCACCCCTAACCGCTGACAGACAAAACTGGTGCCACGACTGTGTCTGTCCTGGGACAGTTGATTGTCTGTATTGATTCTTTCCCCTCCTTAGCCTGGTTTTGTAGGTGCTAATTGATGCTCGTTAAGTCGTTATGTAGTAGCTAGGGCCTGTGTATTGAGCTGGTCCCTGAGTGAATCATGATGGATTGATTGGTAAGTGGGAACACAGCAGCTTAGCAGCCAGGTCTGCAGCAGTGTCTCCCCTCCTCGCCCCAAGACAGAGACAGTCCCACAAGCACCCATGGCATCAGTTTTGCTTGTCCGCAGCTTGAGGGCAGTTTCCCACCAAACCCCTGAACTGATCTTCTTGAAACTTGGCAGGCTTTGTGGCCTCAGTAAGAGCTACCACCCCTGCAGTTTTCACCCTGCTATGTTGTAACACCTACACGTGACATGAGTTTTGCTTTCAGGAATTTGGGGAGCTGTTTCCCCCAAACCCCTGGACCCATCTTCTTGAAACTTGGCAGGCTTTGTCCTCTCTGTAGAGTCTACCATCCCAGAAAATGTCTTCCAAATTGGACAAAAAACAACAAAGTTATAGATATTTTATTGTTTTCCCCATTATACCCTATGGCTGGATCTCTGAGGCGGCTCCAAACCGCTTCGGGAAACCGAACGAGGCCAACACTTGGACCTAGATGTGCTGCTTCGGACCCCGAAGCATCCAAAGCTTCTCCAGATCCAAAGCTTTGTCTGAAGCCTCACACAGCCCTAGTTTCAGGATTTTGAACTTCTAGGTTTCCAGGCTGTACTAGATCTTTTCAAGCTAAACAAACTTCTTCAAATCTTTGGGAAATTATGCATCTCCCACCCCCTACTAAAATTTAGGCAATCAGGCCCTTCCATGAAACTCTAACTGGACTCTCTTTAGTAATAGTAAATGCTTCGATTGATCAGTTCACCCCGCCTGATGAAGAGAAGCTAGTGGTTGAAGCTTCACTAATCCATTGCTAAAGGATAAGATATATTCCAAAGCAAAACCATAAGGGTTGGCTCTTCATAGTTCTGATAACTACCATTCTCCATCTTTGGAAATGCTATACTTAAAGATAATCTCATAGTTTAAACTATCTTTAAAATAAATAAAGTTCATCCTGTGAACAAAAGGACACAGGCATCACCATCATTTCTTATCATTGCAATGGTCCAGTGTATCCAGTGCACAATGTCTCTCCAGAATAGCTGGTTTCAGATGCTTCAGAGAAGGGGGAAAAAATTCCATGCTGGACTAAAGACTAGGACAGCAAGGTTTAGGTCTTAGCTGTTGCACCTGGGCAGTTACCATGAGCAATAGATTCTCAGGAAATCTCCCTCTTTTACCTCAGGTACCTAGTTCATCTGCCTACTTTATTAGTTAGGTCAAAGTCAAGAACAGCCACCTTTTAACATACTGATTTTTACTTATATCAGATTGTTGGGTTCTACCTGCATAAGCATTTATACTGCTTAATCAGGGCTGTTTTCCCTGTTTTGTTTTATTCAGAAGGAAAGACTGACATTTGATTAGGAATGCATGACTCTTCCCTCTGTCATGGGATGAACTTTCCCAGCCTCCATGGAGCTTTACAACACTAATCTAGTGGCTCGACAGGGAACTGAGACAAGCACGCACACCCTTAGATTCCAGCTCTTTGGATGACCACTTAACTTCCCTCTGCCTGTTTCTTTAGTATAATAATAATAATACCTCTTTAATAAAAACTTGTTAATGGGATATGGGTCCTACCAGTCCTGATCAGTTACCATCTATTAGCAGGTGTGAAAGAAGGTATGAATGAAGTATTACTTGGACTCTTTGTATTCCTTCCCAGGTGGATCAACTGGACAAACTGGTTTTGAGCCCTCTCTCAGGTCTACAGACCTTATTTCCAGGCCCACAGAAGCTGATCCAAAAGCGTTATGACAAGTTGCTGGATTACAACAGCTCTCTTCAAAGGTCAGCAGGAGAAGAGCTGGATCTGGCAAAGAAGGAGTATGAAGCTCTCAATGCACAGCTTGTGGAAGAGCTTCAGGTGTTTAACCAGGCAGCCAAGCAGATTGTGGTGAACTGCCTGCATTGCTTCATCACTCTCCTCAGGCAAACGACGTGCACAGCTCTACAGTTGTATTCTGCTGTGGTGGTGCTTGTTCCAGTAAGTCATCTAAGGGGGTTGGGCGCCTGTGTATAATTTACCTGGAAATACTTAAAGCAAACAACTAGACAACCCAGGCTATGTTCTACTTGAACACAGTCTGATTTTTTTCAGACTCTGCGTCCATCCTCCTGAAGCCTTGTCTTCCATGGGCATTTTTTCCCACTAGGGAGGACTCAAGTGCATTAGCTTCTCCAAGAGTAGCAGTAAAGGAAATGCTACAGTAAAAGGGAACCATGCAGTTCCTTATATATTAACTCCCATAGATCTGCTCTGAGTGATTTAGAAAATAGAGCTGGAAGAACTCTGCTGCTGTTCTTTCTACACGTGCAACCCTGCTGCTGTAACCCTTTCTATACTTGCAACCCTGGTGCTACTAATACTGGTAGAACTGTGCTAGAATTAGTATTGGTGGGAAAATGCTGTCACAAAAATCAACTGCAGCTGCCTCTGAGTCTGGGAGGAATGGCTTTCTGTCCTGGCTACAGTGTGAGCTGCAACAGTGCTTTTGATATTTTTTAGGTGAATTTAGACAGGGAAAACATTTTACCTTTATAGGAAGACCCTTACCTGAGCTGCATGGACATGTATCAGTCAAATAATAATTTCTAGCTACACATAGTTGTAACCTTTGCTTTTTAAAGTATGGATCCTCAAATCCATCTCAGTGAAATGGCTGAGTTGGGGTGGGTATGAAATGATGACAGCATTTTTCTCAGAGAAGTTGAATGCTCTACTTGAGTAACAGGGCCCTGATCTTGTCCACATAACTGCAGGCTCCCCCCAGAATACACAAACACACATGCACACCCCCTACCCCCACAATGGAGCCATGTTTCAACAACTGTCCTGCTGATCCTCCCCCTCTCCATCCCTCCACTGATGGACCTTTGTTTTAATTACCATTCTGCTGACTGAGGTCTCAACAAGATTTCTTATGAAGGACATTCACACTACTCCTTAGTAACTGATATAGGCTATTGATGAGTTTTGCACTGAAGTTCCTTCTTCCAAAAAATGAACAGGCTACTTTCCAGTCTTTGTCAGCCTAGAAATGAGAAATCAAGGGTAGGATTGCATCATAGAGTCTTCCTGGAAAAAAAACACCTTTAAGAAGTTGCAGCAGTCAGCTGGTAAAGTCCTGTATATACTGTGAAATTCAGTAAGGTGTGTCAGTAAGGACACACTAATTTCAGTATACCACTATCTTATTTTAGCTTAGCTTACATAAATTAAGAGAGAGATTTACCCAGGTATTGGTGGCACCCTTTTCATCCTTGTTCGTTACCTGTGGCATGTTGTAGGCTTTTTTGTAGGTGGTTCTGTGTGGGGGTGGCATACAAGAAGGATTGAAGTGGACAGTCACGTAGACTCTTTGGAGAAATGGTTGCCTGTGAGCATACAGGACTGGATTCAATGGCCTAGAAGGCTACTTCACGTGCAAATTTCTCCTGTAGGCAAGGCCTGTCTCTGGTTTTGGGGAAGTGGTTGTACCAGGCATTGTTTTCCTTGGGGATTTCTCCATAGATTTTTTTTTTGCTTTTTGCTATTTACATCCCACCTTCATATAGGCTTAGGCCTGTGCCAAAGCCACAGATCAACACTACAGGCACAAGCTAAACTCAGGAAATCGCCTTTAAATTAATACAAGAGTGTCCACACACAAAGTTACACCAATTTAAATATGCCAGTTTTTAGACTGATATACTTAAACCAGTGTCATTTCTATGCCTAGACAGGCCATAATAGCAATTGTTGGAAGCTCCTTGATGCATGCCTTGGTTTATATCTGTCCAGTGCCTTGCATATTATGGACATGACTGGAAACCATAATGACAATAATTAATAACTCAGATTTCCTGACTCCCAGCACTAGATCCACTTGACCAAAACTGCTGTGCCTTATGTCCTTACCATATGAGATCTAATCTCACTTTTCATTTCTAGCTGTCTTCCTCTAGTATCTTTGAAGTACAGAGTCAGGTGATGGAAGAAGTTCACAAGCTGAATTTTGTAAAAGATACCACCACCACCACCTTCATTGAGAGAAAACTCAGCTTTGAAAAGAAGAAACCTGGCTCTTCTCTGGTGAGTGTCATGCTTCTGTCAGTGGAATGATGGCTTTTGCCACAGCATCCTGTCGTGGTTCTTATCGTGACCTGAAGTGGACAGTATGCCAATCTGCCACAAAGCAATCAATCCAAATTTGATCCATTGACTTGGAACTGAAAGAGACTTCCTTCCACCCTGGGAAGAGACTGCAAAACAATGACCAGTGACGTCTTGTGATTTTTCTATTGTCGTTTCATAATCATCAATTTTTTTTCATCGTACCATCCTTAGATTTTTCACCAAATCTGTCCTGGTCATCCCATAACCATACATCAAGCTATACTTTGTCTTATGGCATTCCTTAATCTTCTGATGTCTGGTATGAGTGTGTGTGTGATGGCTTTCTACAGCTGGAACAAGAGAATTTAGACATGCCTAACATGCAATCTGATCCACAATGCATAGAACTGTAGGAACACAGATAATAATGATAATGATGATAGTAATAGCAACTGAATCATACCTTTACATAGCAAAGTAATTTTATATTCATACAAGAATTTAATGTAACAATACAGAGACTGTTGATCTTATGGTTTCTGCCTTATAAAGTGAGTTATTTATACAAACTCGCCATTTGCGTACCAGTTTTGAATTATGTTTCAGTCATCCAGTTAAAGATTTTATTATTCAGAGACTATAGGGCAGATTTCTAAAGGTGCTTAGTGCCTGCATCCCATTCAGTAGACTTCTAAATTCTTCTAAAGATCTCGCTCTTAATTTTCAGCTATTAGTACAACAGATGAAAACATGCAGACCACAAATGTGAGTGCACGGGCTGGGGAATTATGCACCTAAACACCCAATGAGTATGAAATTTCTTTTATATCTGTGCTACAGTCACACTAGTTCATCAGCTTCTTTTGTGAAACCTGTTTCTCTAGCAATGGCCCCAGAATTACTCCCAATGAACATTAATTAGTTTATTTTCCTTTTCAGCCTGAATCTCCACGCCAAACAGAAAGCCACAGGTCTAAACTATTATCTACATATGGTGCAGAATCACTTTACCAAGCTAAGCGCAAATGCAATGCCACACAGGAATTTGATATTGATTTATATGAGGGGGAACTGGTGGCTGTTGTGGAGCAAAAGGACCCCTTTGGAAGTACGAGCAGGTGGCTTGTTGATACAGGAAGTAAGTCCTTTGCACAAATATCCCAATAACAGCTTCCCTTTGGGCTATTGATTTTCTTTTTAATTCTTGGCCCATTCGTTTGTGTGTCTCCTATTGACAGCTTATAACACAAAGGATGACTATGAAACATATAAGAACTAGCTTGCTTTTGTTGTTTTTTTTTCCATCTGATATCTAGTTCTTAAAGGATATGTGTATTCCTCCTTCCTGAAGCTCTACAATCCAGCCAAGGTGCAGAAGGATGTTGCAGAGAACAGTTTCTGCGATGATGATTTTGATAACATCAGCCTTTTTGTTTCTTCACGGCTTCCCAACGACAGCAGCACAAGAAACCCAGGACATAAGAGGAGTGACAACAGCTCGTCTTCTCACAGCCAATCTGAAAAGCCTACCATTAATGGGACAGGGACAGATAGTTTTCATGATATGGATGATCAACATGTAAGCATTATGCAATATGTCTGTCTGTCTGATTCTGCACTTTTTTTCTAATTCCAAATACAAAAGCTGTGGTCTGCTGCTTACAGTTTAAATTGGTCACCTTTTGGCTTCAAAAGAATTATATTAAACTCCTACATACATGGGAATTCAAACAATATTATTACCTCTTCTATTATTTAGAATAACTGCACCTTCTGTGAAGAAATGATGAACATTTCAGTTAAGCTGTGAAGCACTAGTCTGCTTTAGGGAAACAGTTACACTGTTTTAAAAGGCAGGGAGGGGAATTACAGCTGAATTGGACATAAGGGTTTTATCTAGTATGCAAAGTTAATCTGCAGTAATTTTCCCTGTCCCATCTAGAGGAAAGTTTCTGCAGTTCACTTCACTTGCTGTAGGTTAAGGGCAGGCAGGCAAAGCAGTTAAACCAGATCAGCTGATGCATGGTTTTAAATGATAAGTCAAACTCTTCTCCCTCTGTCCCCTTCAGACCAGTATATTTTTATCCCCTACAAAATAGTACAGACTGCACCATTTTCATGGAGGCAAAATGCCTTTAGCTACTCCTGGGAGTACAGCCACTTTCCTTACCTTGACAGAGTACAGTGTGTGATCCCGTTCAAGAAGTTAGCTCAACCTTGTGCTGTTTTTAGCTACTCAGGCAAGGTCATGACCAGACCTATAAGGAATTCCCCAAAGTTACCCATGACATTATTACCTCCAGGTCAGATTGTTGCAATATAAGTTCCTCAGCCCTAGGCATTCCTCACAGAACACCTAAGGCAAAGAATGTAACCACTGCTACTTTTAAATGCTTGGGACTTGGGAACCGGTTGCCCTCCATGAGGGAGCTTTGGCTCCAGGTACCTTTGAACAAATATGCTTAGCATATGCTAGGTGGTATAAAGGACTTGTTTTTTTCTCCTCAGGGATTTCCTTGTGCCCTTTACTTGTAATTGCCAATTTTGTTTTACCTGGTTTTTATATTGTATGCGCCCACATAGCACATTTTCCACACTGAAATAGGACAGAATATGGTTATATGTATGGATTCCAGTTTTCTTTATGTTGGTTGTTTCATTTTTCAGACTTTCTATGCTGTGTATGCATTTCAAGCAAGAAGTGATCAGGAACTGAGTCTTCAAGAGTACCAGCGGGTTCGGATACTGCAGTTTTCTGACTTGAGTGGCAATAAAGAATGGTGGTTAGCAGAAGCCAAAGGACAGAAAGGCTATGTACCAGCTAATTATCTTGGCAAGATGACATATGCTTAGGAACCGAAGAGGTTGTGGAACTAGTTTCTCTGAAAAAAATTCTCAGTCTGGATAATAATCTGTTTCAGTTTACAGCAAGCAAGGTGAACATGTAAGTGATTGACATCAGCCATGATAGCTGGAAAGGCATGTAGATATTCCTGAGAACTTCCATACTCAAAGGGCCATCACCTTGTCAAAACCTGAGGCAGAGAACATTAACAGGAAGCCACTCTGATGAATGTCCTGAAGGACTTACTATTTTAATACCCATTTATTTGCTTTTTTATGAAGTACTGTACTAAGTCAGGATTTAGTGCACAAATACAAATCACCACTAAGCTTATACTTTTCTAGGGCTGCTACCTCCATGGCCTTTAGAAAATAACTGTAGAGCCCATGAGAATTAACCTTGGAAAAGTACAGGTCTATGGGGATGCTACAGTTCATACTGAGCTGGCTCTTCCATCCTATCTTTAGCTACTTACACATTTCTCAGAGCTTTTGCTTTGGGGCTGAAATATCATGTGCCTAACTGTATCCCAAGTGAGGTTTGTAATGAAGATTTACAAAAAGTCAATGAGGCCATTTTTGAATGATCAGAGATAGAAAAATAGGTTTTTCGTGCTTTAAGGAGTCTGTTCTTTTTTGTGGTTGGAGACTCAAAAAGACTGTTTTAAAGCTTAAGTTGTGGCAGGTACAAACTCCTTAATAGGAAAGGAACACTATGCTAAAATTGAAAAACCTAAAAGTAGATTATAAATAGGAATCTTCTGAAAATTACATACATAGCCTATAATATGTAATTTTCCATACCAATGTAAATATGCACCAGATTTGAATCTCCAGATATATATTTTTAGTTAGATAACTGTGCACTAGGTATGTCTACATTTGCACTTTAATGCACAGTAGCCCATTTTACTGTGCATTAAAGTGTCACGTAAAAACCATGCAAATATGCTAATGCACAGTAAAGTAGGCTACTGCACATTAAGCATCACTAAAAAAGCATGTGCTTTTGCTACTGTGCATTAGGACAGCCTAATGCACATTTATTTAGTACCTCATCTTGGAATTACTAAATTTAATACACATAAGGAAAAGTACATTAATGCACATGTAGACACTCACTGAAATCAAAACTGTTAAAATAAAATGAAGCAGTGCCTTTTTTGAATACCTATTCCTTATCCAACCTCTTGGCAGGGGAAAGGTAGAGGTTATAATACCCTGAGAAGTGCATCAGCATGCCAAGACTCATGATACTATGAGGCATCTTCCTCAGGCAGTGCCATCATTCTTATTCCTGGAGCATATAACCATAACCATTAGCTTAAACAATGAAAAAAGGAAAAGAATGTATTTATTTTGACTGTGCAATAATTAGATTGTTTAGATTTTTGCAGAATTTGGGGCCAACATTTGCGTTACTGAAGTACTTTTAAACTATTTTTATCAGTGAAAATAATGAATGCAAAATGGTGAGGAAAGATGAAATTACTAAAGTACAATCCCAACAGGTTCCTACCTACTGTACATTGAAGTCAGTGGAAAGGTTCCCACAGTTTACTGTGATCACTGGATCAGACCCATCTAACCAGAAATGAATGATCATGTAACATCATATTAGCACACCTTATTATTTATTTAGTACTTATTTATTAGTATTACCATACCGCCTAGCAGACTCAGTCATAGAGTAGAACCATTGTGTAATAGGCGTTGTGCAAACACAGATCAAGACAGTCCTGGCCCCAAAGAATTTGCAGTCTAAATAAAATATAAACCTTTCCCTGGCATTTGCTGCACCCTACATCATCATGGACAGTTCCTGATTGACCATTGAAATGACAGTACTATTAAAACAAAAGAGTTTACTATATATGTAGCTTTAATATTTTCTTTGCTAAGAAAAGGAGAAAAAACTCTGGAATCTGCATAAAGCATAGGCGTGGCAGATCATGGAGACAAGCTCACATACTTTGCATGTGGTTACCTCATGTGCCAGAGAAGGCTTTAGAATTCACTGGCATGGACATCCAGAGCTTGACGCTCTAATTCAGTGGTTTTCAAACTATGTTCCATAGAACCCTAGAGTTCAACGATAGGTCATCATGGATCCATAAAGACATAGGCAACTGGTAGGGGGTACACAGGGGTGCATGTGCCCTCCCATAATGGGGCCAGTGCCCTCCTCGATGGCCGACACCAATGCTGTTGGCAGGGCTGGTGCCCCCCCTGGCAAGGCCAACAGCTTCTGCAGGTGCCCCCCCTAGATTCAGGAGGCACCAGTTGCTCATGCATAAAGAAATTGGGGGTAATGGCACAGAAAGTTAGGAGGTGGTGCATTGCCATTGTCAGGCTGGGTTGCCCAGTTCCATGAAGTGATATGAAAGGGTTCCATGACTTCAGAAAGTTTGAAAACCACTGCTCTAACTAGCACAATTGAAACAAACGATGGTGGTGTTGTTATATTACCTTACCTAACTCTACTTAGCTCATGCAGGTTCTGTAACAAGTAAAAAAAAGAAAAGAACAAAAAACAAAACAAAAAAACCCCCTCAACAACTATTACCATCCAAATTCTATCTGTTTAGTTTAAGGGTGGTATTGGAAAAGTTACTGCTTTAGGGTAGATTGAAATATCACCTTGGTGCTGTGCAACCTTCTTAACGAGGGGTGGGCAAAACAGCTGATCCGGCCAGCAGCCGGACTTCATTTCCCAGCTGCCTCTGCCCTCTTGGCTGGGGCTGATCTCCATGGAGGCCCCAGCTGCAGCTGCATGGGAAAGCTCAAGGCTGGGGTTGCCATGAAGACCAGCTGCAGCCATGCTGGCAGCACGCATGGCAGAGCAGGGCAGGGGTTGCTCTGGAGCTGCTGGGATCTTGTGAAGGGCGTAGCTTACTCTGGAGGCAGGGCAGAGCTGTGATCTGTAGCCTGCACACTCTGGGCAGGGGCGTGAAGCAGGGGATCACGGCCCAGAGCATGCAGGTTACAGATCACAGCTCTGCCCTGGCTCTAGAGCAAGCTGACCCCATCGCAAGTTCCAAGTGGCTCTGGAGCAGCCCCCTGCACTGCTCTGTCACGTGCACTGCCAGCACGGCTGTGGCTGATCTCCATGACAACCCCAGCCTTGAGCTTTCCTGGGCAGCTGTGACTGGGGTCTCCATGGAGACCAGCCCCAACCATAAGCAGGGGCAGCTGGGAAATAGAGTCCACTGCTAATCGGATCTGGCCTGTGGGACGGGTTTTGCCTGTCCCTGTTCTTAACTCTCCTCCTTCCTATAGGAGGAATGGGTCCAAAGAGCATAGAGTTGAATATATGTCAATAACATATTGTACTTTTTGTTTTTTAATTAAACAAGTTTTGTTATTGGGATTATCAACATGTCTTACATTTCAATGTGCCTTACAATTTGGGACATATTATGAGATCTTGTGGCTAAAAAGGAAAGTATTTTACAAAGATTGTTTGTACTAGGCTTGTACTCTTACAAGGAAACTGATTAAGTTTTATATGCTAGGTATATATGTATGCACACATGTCGCTAAATTAAATAACTAGGAGCAAGACACTGAAATGCGATCTTGGATGCTTGAATGTTTGGGTGCTTAGCAAGAGCCATCTGAAAGGGCCCTGACTGAGGTAGTGCCACGTGCACATCCTATGAAAGATCAGGCTTTGTGAAGGTATCTCAAGATGGCAGCAGAATCTGGGCTTCATTGTCTTGATTTAACGAGGAATGAAAGATAGGCTTTAATAATAAATCTAAGTAATTGGACACCAATGTCCTATTGAATATTAATAGGATTTCGGAGCTTATTCCTCTCTGTGTTGAAAATGTGCCTTAAATGCTAGTGTCTGTAATATTTTTCTTTTTCTATTTAAGATGCTCTATAGCTTTAATTATATCTACTTTCTTCCTCTAATACAATCACTTTGGATTCTCAAGAAGTTTCTCTTATAGGTGCTCAGTATTGATTTGTGCAATGAGCTAATTTTTAATCATTTCTAACATCTTGTTATGTTTCAACCACTGTAGTTGGTTGAGAATGTAAAGCAATTGTATTGAAAAGAGAATGTATTTTTATATTTATTTGTCCACTTTCATCTGTATATAAAATATATAAATTTGGGTGAAGAGTTTTGCTGAGATAAAGGACAACTCTCTGAAGCCAAGTCTTGCCTACAGTAGAGGAATTCACAAAAATCTTTTACTTAGAACTGCTTAGGGCCAATCTACGCTTAAAATGCTGAAGACTTAATTAGAGCAGGGCTTCTAAGCACTGGATGCATTAGTGGAATTGAACTTGGCATTACAAAATTGCATATATTTATTAGCTTACCCTTAAGTGCAGACAGAGTTCCAGGGTTCCAAAGGCCTGCACGTCCGCCAGTCGATCAGTGGCAAAACTTTGGTTTCAATGGGAGCAGGAGTAGACTGCACTTTAGCAAGCCAATAGGCACTAATTCTGCAACCCTGGAACATGTGCATGCTACTTGCTTGCAGTCAGTGAAGCACAGGCTTCAGTATTTGCAAATGTAGGCCCCAGGTTGTCAGAGTGGGGTTCTTTTGAGATAGGATCATTTTTTAAAGTATTGCTCTGTGCAGTCATTTCAAAACCAAATACATTCAGAAACCAAATGATACAAGTCTCTGGACTATGCACTACTTTCCTTCATTTGGTGGTCATAATCAGGCCTGCCTTTTCAAAGCAAGCAGCTTTGGGAATTGTTCTTTCCCAGAATAGGAAGTTTCACTCTGTTAATGTGTCCTTAAAAATCTAAAGTTTTTATATTAGCCAAGCTCAAATAAATAATTACATAGGTGCAGTCCTAGAGTGGAATTACTTGCAGGTTGGGTTGTAGAAATGGAGCCAATAATTGTAGCAGAATAACATGATAATTGGGGTAAATCCAGATTTATGATGGTAAAATTCATTTATAGCAATATTCTTTATACACAACTTTTAAAAAACTCCTTTTAAATTATTGTAATAAAAGTTCTATTTTTGCA